GCTGGGCGGGGGGGCCGCACCGTGCCGAGCCGAGCCGTGCCGAGTCGCCCCGAGTCGCCCCCCGCCCCTCGCCGCGCCGCGCCGCGGAGGATGCTCGGGCCGTGAGCCCGCAGCCGGCAGCCCCGGCGCGGCGCAGCCATGGGCAAGGACCAGGAGCTGGTGCAGGCGGTGAAGGCGGAGGACATCGCGGCCGTGCAGAAGCTGCTGCAGAGGCCCAAGCCCGGCAAAGCCAGTGAGTGCGGCGGCGGCGGGGCCGGGCGAGGGGCGGCGGCGGGGGGGGCACCCGGGGGGGGACACACACGGACACCGGCGTCGCAACAGCAGGCGCGGCGGCTCGGGGCCGCATCCCAGCGCTGCTCCCGGGGCCCGGCCGCGTTGCCGCCCTGCCCGCCCCGGAGCATCCCCGGCCCCGGAGCATCCCCGGCCCTTCCCTGGTTGCGGCGCGTCGCAGGCGGGCGGGGGCCGTGGACGTGCCGGGGACCCCCGGTGGCGCCCCGGGAGGGGCGGGGAGAGGGCTGCCCGGTGGGGGTCTGAGCATCCCGGCGGGGCTCGGAACATCCCCGGGCGCTGCGCGGGTGCTGGGCGCTGCACAGGGTCGCCCCGCGGGTCCCGCGGTCCCGGGTTAGCTCCCGGTGCGGCCGGTTCCCAGTCGGGCTGCCCTTGCCCTGCGGCCGGGACCAACTCCCGACCCCTCGGGAGCCGGGCCCGGTGCCCCCGGGATGTTTGGCCTGGGCAGGGGCTGCGGCCGGGCGGCGCCGGGCACATCTGCGTGTGCGTGGAGCGAGTGTGCCCGGCCCGCGCGTGTGAGCCCCGGGGCTCAGCGCCCGCACACCTCTGCGTGTGTCCGCGCTGCCGCGGGTGCGTGTGCGGCTGTGTTTGGGTGCGTGGGGTGTTTGCGTGGCGGTGTGTACCCTGGCATCTGTGTGTTTGGCTGGGCTGTTGGTGCCTCTCGGTGTGTGGGGGTGTTTGGATGTCGCTCCGCGGGTATCTCCCGGTGCGTCCCTGCGGCTCGGCTGGCTGTGCACGGCTCCCCGGGTGCGCCGAGTGTGCGTGGCCAGGTGTGAGGCTGCGGGGGCGTGCGTGTGGCTGTACGTGTGTGTCTCCGGCTGTACGTGTGTGTAGCTCCAGGAGTATCTACTCGCTGTAGGATGTAACTGCTCCGTCGAGGCGTTCCGCCCCGGAGTGAATAATTCATGGTGCTGATGCAGCCGCAGGTTTCAGGCCTGGTGCATGGGATGGACTGGGGGGCTGGGGACTGTCCCTGGGTATGGACAGGGACCTCGTGTGGCATCGGGTCACTGGACACGAAGCCCCTTCATGGCTGCACCCAGTGTCCCTCCCTCCAGGGCCCAGCGCTCCCTGAATGAGGGCACCACTGTTTTCCTGGAATTGTGCAGGGCTGGTGTGGTGTCCCCCATCCCTGGTCATGCAGAGGTGTTCCTGGCTGAGCAGGGCCAGCGTGGTGTCCCCTGTGCCCTGATGCTGGGCAGGCATCCCCCATGTCCCTGCTCTGGTGTGGCATCCACCATGTTCATAGTACCACCTGGGGTCAGTGTGTGTTTCCTTGTGCCATGCAGGGCCAACATGGTATCCCCCCATGTCCTGGTGCTGTGCAGGCCTGACGTGGTGTTCCCCATGTCCCTAGTGCCATCATTGCTGCCATTGCTGAGGGACTGTGCAGGACAAGAAGAGCCTCCAGCTCAGAGTCCCCTTCATTCTAACCTGCTCCAGGTGCTGCCACTGCAGTGGCCTCTCAGAGTGACACGTGGGGATGGGGACAACACTTGGCCTGTGCCCAGCACTGTCCCCAAACACCCCTCTCCAGTCCCTGCTGGCAACAGCCAGAGGTGCCAGAGTGCCACCACCTCCTCCTGCATCCCTCTCCTTCCCAGTGCTCTGCTGCGTCTCCCACTGCTCAGCCCTCCAGGTGCCAGGTGGATTGGCCACGGGGGGCCAGTGGCACTCCCCATGCCAGGATTGCAGGGTAGGGACAAGGGACACCCAGTGAAGCTGAGCCTGGTGTTGGGCAGATTCCCACTCTAGGCCTGGATGCTTGCCCCATTCCCTGGCTGGGCTGCCCACCTCCAGCTCTGCTGAGCCCTCCGGTGCCC